ATTGAAGGTAGATGATATATAATATCAAGATTATAGTATTAGTGATGGCTTACTCTATTTCAAGAAGCAAATTTATATATCCAACAATGCTATCTATTGAATGCACATATTACAAGAGGGATATGATATCTCAATATCTAGACATTTGGGACAAGAGAAGATTCTATAACAAATTTTAAGGGCATGGTTTGGATCATGATGTTTAAACTTTTGTACATTACTATGAATCATGTCAACATAATAAAATACATAACGTAGTATTCAAGCAAGTACCATTCATTCATCTATTGGGAGTAAATCGAGGATGTTTCATATTAGTGGAGGCGGATTAACTGTAACAAGTTATAGATAAGATATTTATATTATTTATACATAGGAATAGACAGTTAAAATCATGTTTGAGAAGTTATGGAAGTTTTTAGAATTGGGATTAGGTAAGTGGACTTGATAGGATCCACCATAGAATATTTTAGAAAGAATTTAAAATAATTATCTAGGTAGGACCCACTATAGAACCTTTTAGAAAGAATTTAAGGTGATTATCTAAGTATGATCTATCATTTAAGAATATTTTAGAAAGTCCAAGGTGATAGAATAAAATATAAATAGAACCAGCTAAGGCCTTTTGAGGCATGTGGTCACGTATAACTTTAGACCTTTTTTCTTAATATAATTGGATTTTGTATCTTTTTATTTTATTTTATTTAGTTTTAATTCCTGTTACTCAGTTTTATTTTATGTATTTTAATCTATTTAGTTTTTTTTAGTTTTGTTCTTGTTCAACTATCTTACTTTGAAATGAAGTTTTATATTGCTATGGATTAAAATGATCTTGGATACTTGAGATAGACTGGTCTTGTTTCATGTGGCATATCAAAAAAACAAATTGAGTAGTTATTAGAGTCATTTTGTCACAATAAATGATAGCATATTTTTTTATAAATGTTAGACTAATATAGTGCAGAAAAAGACTAAAGAAGCATTCCAAGATAACTCGCAACAACTTCAAATATAATTTGTAGGATATTATATACTTTCTTATCAAGAACAAAATTGGATTTGGTTCAAACAGCACTTTATATATATTTGAATAGACTACTATCATGATATAATATGGCTAATGAATGAAAGAGAGAAAAAAAATTATATTATAGAAGATCTTAATTTAAAATATTATAAAAAATATCTTAAAAAATACATAATAGTCAAAAAGATAGTAAAATTAAAAGATATTATTATTACCTTTTTACAAAATAGGCTTCTATTTACTTTATACGACAATAAATAAAGCAAAATAAAGTAGATTGAAAAATAAAATGACATAAGCATGTGTAAGAGGAAGTTTAGAATAGATTATAGCAAAAATTACCTCAAAAAGTCAAGAATTGATATCCGGAGAGGACCAGTTGTCAACTTGGGTCAAAATCAGATATTGAGGCACAAAACCATACACCTACAATGACTCTAGGGTTCTTTGGCAAATTAGAGAGTGGAATTTGAGAGAAACTTAATAGGATTTCTATGACTATTAGTTTTTAGTGATTTGGATTTGTAATGACTTTGTAAGAGCTTTATAAAGTCAAGGTTATTTTGCATGACTTGGATTTTTGTGAAATAAAATAAGATTGACTTTTTGGACAAATTTGAAAGTTTTGTAGTAGATCTATAGGTATAATTTTATAAGTTGGTGAATATAATTGTATTTGATGTGTGTTGTGAATTTAAGGTCAATCAAATAATTAGATCAAAGTGAAAAAGTTTTTGTGGGTTAAGGTTTCAAAAATTAGAATTTGAGTGTTAGTGAATATTTTTAAGATCTTTAGCAATCTATTGATTGAATTGAAATAATTTTTTTTTATATGGAGACTATACCTGATTTCTCATAGTTTAATTGAAATTTGGAAGAAAATGAATAGTTCAAATGAGAGATATTGGTACTAGAAGTTCAATATTTAGATTGGAATAAGAGTCTGGCCAACACTTGAATGGACTTTAGGATTTTTCTTCAATTTCATAAAATAAATTATCTTCAAATTTGTTGTACTAGCATTTAACTTAGAGGTTGAGAGGTGTGTAAAGTTTTAAGCAAGATCAGCAATTTAATCAATAGATATTGACGTTCTAATCTCTCATAGGATTTGTCTAAGGTTTAATTTAGAGTTTAGGATTTATTTATGATTTGATTTAGGATTTAGTGTGTGTCTAGGATTTGATTTAGGATTTAGGATTTATCTAAGGTTTGATTTAAGATTTAAAGTTTATCTAGGATTTGATTTAGGATTAGGGTGCAACTTAGGATTTGGTTAAAGACCATTAAGGTTTTAATTAAGATTAAAGTAGGATTTTGTTAAGATTTATTTAAGATTTATTTAAGATTTCTTTGATATTTTTTAAAAATTTCTTTTGGATTTGTTTAAAGCTTGATTAGCATTATTAAGGTTTAATTGGAGTTTATTTATGATTTTTTATTAGAATTGTTAGTATCTTTTTGTTGTAATTTTCATTCTACCTTCCTCAACTAAATATCCAATGCATTCTTAAGCAAGACTTCACAAAATACAACACTGCATTGTACATTTAGGCAATATAATAATTTTAAGGATAGAGAAGGCACATACACCCATCAAATAATAATTACAATTTTTGATTGGTAATTTGCATGTGGTATATCAACAACTTGAGCAAACTTTATAAAATTAGGCAAAAGAAATAGTAACAAAGATAGAATCTGACAAGTTCCAAATTCCTTATATTGTGAATGATCTTTTCTTTCACAATGTTATTGGCTAAGTTTTAACTTTTGATGTAATGAAGATAGATATGTAATACTTGAAGACAAACGAAGTTAATGATGAAGATTCTTTGGATGTTTGCTTTAATTTTTTTACAAGCAATTGAGGACAAATTTATTGTATTTCTACTCTAATTAAAAAAGATTTTACAAGTAGATGAAAAAATAAAAAAAAAAGAAAAGAAAAAAAGAATATATATTTGATTCAATATGATTGTTAAGCTATCTAGACTAAAACTTCTCAAAAAAGAATTATGATGTCTATCATATATTAAGAATATACAACTTGATGTAGATAAGAATTACACCATAATTTTAAAGGTTAATTATTAGTTAGAAATTATTTACAAACCATTTTTATTTTTATGCCTTACAACAACAAAACTATAAAATAAAAAAAATACTTATTATTTATTTAGTTTTATAAATAATATATTATAATCTCAAGTAGTTGTTGCTACAACCATATCTATGAATTTTACACTTAAGTTGCATCAAATTACTTTAATTTCAATTTTAAATATAAAATTAGTAGATTTGTTAATTTTTCAACATATAATTTTGCAACATTCACAATAAAGTCAATTTTTCTTTGACCTTAAAGACTTAACTTTGTCTTTTAAATGCCTAAAATTGAATTTCTTTTGTATACACATTATAGAAGTTTGTGATGCAACTAGAAAAGAAACCTAAAAACTAATTATGAAAATGAACATGAAATTTGAAATAATAATAAAAAAATTATGTTTTAATGATTTGGTCATTCCATCAACTTTGATATCAACAAATCAAATCCTCGTCAAGGGATTGCATGTCTAGTTGATCAATTTGATTGTAAAAAAATATGTGTAAGACTTTTAAGAACAAATTCATGAGTTCAAACCAGAACAGAAAAAACCCTACAATGCCTTCATATCACCTTACAGAAATTGAAAAAGAAAATACCAGGCAGAAAAAAATGAGCTCTAAAAACAATTCATTATGCTGAAATAGACTTGCAATGGCAAATTATGCTCACCGTGTCAAATGCTTCTGATGATTCCAGGTCGTCGAACTCCCCTTGCTGGAACGCGAGTCAGGAATTTCTACGCGTCAGATGGGAAAGGCCACGTCTACACCGTTGCCAGTTCTTCGACCTCTTCCCAAAACGCCGCACACTATGAAACGTCACCGACACGAGAACAGGCTGCCTTAGACAGCCTCGTCAGTGTCGCAACATCCCCAAGGGCAGCCGCTATCAACACTACGTCCGAAACAAGCTTCCGCCAACGTCCACAGATCGCTAGCACGCACTTCGAATCCTGTCAGAGACGACGACGCAATGGATCACAATAGCGCTGCTTCATGGGACGCGAGGTAAACAAAAACCTTCCTCAAGCAAGGAGACACCACCATAATCGAGAACCGCTTTCAAATATTGATACCCGACGGGTACGCCAAAAACACACGAAGTTCCTTGCGAAGAATGCTATCTCCGCGGACTCACAGAACCCTGGAGGATAAGGACGTGATCGAAAGCTCGCTATTAGGCGTCCGTGCCCATGCATTGGCATCGTCAGCAGAGATAATCTCCTCGCTGACTCCACCGTGCCAAGTGGAGATGCATCGAATCACTGTTCTGGATAGGTTGATGAGCTGATGCAACGTTCACAAATTCTTTCCATCATCTCACGATGCTAACCAAAAAATCGGAAGCACATCCAAATCGATCACTGATCCTCGTCACACTCTGCCGTCGATCACAACCGCGATGAACTTTCACATCCTCCCCTCCCCTCGACTCATCTTACAACACCATCCCTGGTGCACACAAAGTTACAAATCCCCTTCGTCACACTAACAGAATAGACCATTCTCCAGTAATATCGATGTGAAACAAACCGTCCGAGGCATCTAAAAATTGGCTATAGCCTGGCCATCGTCGTGGACGGTAAGAATTACAGTTATACTCTCGCGGCAGAGGTAACGAATTCGGCTCAGATAGTCGCGAACAACACGATGCTGAAACAAAAATTAACGAGTAGAAACCTACTCGGCCATGGAAAAACACAACGACAGAGAAGATGGTGCCATAGACTAGTTTAGTCTAATCTAATAACGAGAAGATGTATTCCACGATGGCGAACGAACGAACACGTTCATCGCCATAGTGGGGGCGTGGTGATGGGCGTGGAGTGAGTGCCCGCGTGCATGTGTACTTGCCATGAAGGAAAGGGGGTCCTTGATCGCAGCGGGAATCTCCACAGCTCCTCCTTCATAGCCGATCGCGTGAACGCTGCAGCCAATTCCATTCCGCACCTTCTTAACTATTTGTACAATTGGTATTTCTAATGGTTTTTGTTTCAGGGTGCGGGTCATTGTTGGTTGGTGTGGTGGAATGAAGTGGAGTGAAGGAAGGAATCGGAGTGAGGGAAGGATTTAATCAATCGGGAGAAGTTTTGCCTTTCGTGTTGCGGGAACGAACGAGAGAGAGAGAGAGAGAGAGAGAGTTGGAGCTTGTTTTTATCGTACATGGAGACTTTACAAGCTGTGCATCATGTGGTTGGAGTGAAGGTCGGCGGTGCGGGTGCAGTTCGATCTGAGGTGGTTGAATGCAATTCGGTGCAGCGTTGCGGGACGAGGGTTGCCTTTCGTGGGGTTTCACGTCGGTTGAGGTACGAGGGGGCTGTGTGGGGTGGTATCGGTGAGGCGAGGAGGGTGAAGAAGAGGAGTGCAGTGAATGCGGCGTACGAGAGCTCGAGCGGTGGGAATAGCCATGTCGAAGGAGGGGACAACGGCGGAGGTAACAGTACGAGTGAGTATCTAGAAGCGCAAGTGATGGATGCTGTGAGCATGGTGCCATTCCATGGCAAGCTGCTTATGACACTGGGAAATGGAATGGAGATGGAAGTTGATCATATCAACCCTGCCAAGGGGCGTTTGCTTTACAAATCCAGTACTCCGACGATCTTTTTGAAGGTCACAGATGGGTCGAACTTGATGCTGCCGATTGTTGTGGGCGAAGCCGCAGTGAGCATGCTCATGAGGGCCTTGCACGACGACGAGCATGCCAGTCGTCCCAATTACTATGTCCTCATGCGTGATATGGTGGAGAGTTTGCATTATGAGCCCAGGATGGTGAGGATTACCGACCGAGTTGTGGATACTTACTACGCCAGAATTTACTTGGGCAAGCCTGGTGAGGAAGAGCTTGTGAGTGTGGATGCAAGGCCATCGGATGCGATCAACTATGCGGTTCGTTGCAAGGTTCCAATTTATGTGAATAGCAGCATCATCAGGGCGGATGCCGTGCGTCCTGTGACGGAGGTTGAACTCACAAGGAGGGTGGAGCTCAACATCCCGAGGAAAAGAAGTTCTATTTTGGCAGAATCTTTTAATTCGTATGAACCCGATGTTTTCCAAGACGAGATGGCTATGGTGATGTGCATGCTCGTTGCCGCTAAGCAGGAGCGCTACGGTGATGCGATTCGATGGCGGGACGAACTTGCAAGACTTCGGGCAGAATTCAAACAGAAGCTGCGGCGACTCTAAACGAGTACCTGGAGTAAGATTTTGTGGAGGCAAATTCTTGATAAGATTTGGTCTTAAGTATTGGACCTCCTATTGATGTACATATAGATCTTGCCAAATTGGGATAACTCGTGTGAATGGTGTGATACAAAAGGCGACAGGGAACTTAAATAATGTTAATGTATTATGTGTCCTTCCTATGTAAACTACTTGTGCTCCGTTTGTCTTTCACAGTTCTGACATACATGCTGATCGCCTCTGATATTCAGTGACAGCTACTTCAAACAGTCTACCGGTACTTGCATAGTGAGTGCTCGTTATCTGTGTTTGGTTGTTAAGGCTGCTGTGCCGATTCCACAAAGCTTTTGGAAACAAGTTTTCAGATCAATTGGTGACTCCATGTAAGGCCTTTTGTCCAGCTTTGAAAGATAATTTGTTATTTCTTGCTTGTTACAGCATGTCTGTTCGCAACCGAAAAATCCAATCAGTCTTACATTCCAGCAAAGCAGAACTTGAATGAGACTTCTCAGGTCCATTTCTTTCTCGACCTGGCACTCTTCTCTTCCTATTTACGCAAGTCCGATTTTCTTTGGATGTCATGATTCATTCACCCTTTGTTTTGTACTCACGGGTGTCAGATCTTTTCTGAGAGCTACAGATGTACAGAACAACTACGTTTTTGAGATGCAATGCTTTACCGTTATCCCACAGTTTCACTTTCTACTTTCCATCCATTTTTAATCCTTAACGGTGAGCTTAACATAGTTATGAGGGAAGTTCTCTTTTATTCCAGCATGACCCAACTGGAAGAATGGAACTATTCCTCGTTTAAGTATTTCTATTATGGCAGCGAACTCGTGGAATGAGAGCAGCACTGAGACAATTACTCGTGGCACAAAGTACATGGGGATCTAAGATCCAGGTCCAATGTAATTATCTGGTTTTTTGGCCCTTCAGAGCTAATCAGTTCAGGATACAGCTGTGATGCCACATAATGAGGTGTTGTTGGATTTGAACTTTAAAATAATTTTCATGAATGTTAAAAATGCTTCAATGGTTTTTCATAAACAGTAAAAAAACAAAAAGACCAAAAAAAAAAAAAAAAAAACAAAACAAAAACAAAACAAAAAACAAACTAATAACTACTACTTGTAAGCCACGAAGGTGAATTATTATTCTATTTTAATCTGTTGACATCAGTTTAACTTCTGAAATCTCAAAAGACTACATCACTAAGGTTTCTTTTCTAAAAATGGATTTTTTCATCAAAATATATCATTTATATTGGAATATCCTTTAATTTACAAATGCTTTTATTCTATCATGATATTCTACGATATTCATGAAAAATATTTGAATAATAGTAAACAAAGTATTGATCTAGCAGGTGATTATGGATCACTTTTAAGTCTCAAAGGAAAAAACAAATTGTTTTCTATTGTTATTTTTATTGAAATTTCGTATAAATATTTACATTATATATATATATATATATATATATACAGGTGTTTATATTATTCTCAAAAACCTCAAGTGCTCCTCTTTAGTTGATTAAAAGCCTCTTAAGTCAACTAGGACGACAAAACACAAATCATTGAAGATGAATGACACAATGATGTTATTGCCAAACTGTATTCTTTCAAACTAATATTGTAGCAGTTAGACTACCAAAGTGTCTAACATACATAATAGAAGAAATCTTCAATCCTTATCAAGAGATGTGGTATGGCTAGAAGACTTTTCATAATAAAAAAAAAAAAAAAAAAAAATCCAATCTCCTAAAGAGAGAGTTGAAAGAGATAGTATCAAATATGCCATATGCCACCTACATTGGCATTGATCACACAAAAGCATGGTAGTAGCTCTTTTCTTGTTACCATATACAAAACAAAGAAGACTAATTGGCACAACTACCAATTCAAGATGTATAAAGGCATCAATAGGAAGATGACAAGGAGCATAATTTTTTGAATGTTCTCAACACTCTTATCCATCCTTGCCTTCCAATAACAAAATACAACTAGAAAATACATCTTTTATACATATAATTGTATACCTTGTCATAATATTAAGTGTTATAAGTACTTCATATTGTAAATATACATAATCTCTTTTAGAAAATTTATGTAATTAAGATCGATAAGCTTTACTATGATTATGAATATATCATAAAGTATTACAATATTGAGCAATAGATAAATTCTCCATAGCCATAAGCATAGTTTGTTTAAAGAACTCTGCTCGGTCATGTAGACATTAGAATCATCTAAGTCTACAACTCAAATTAGCTTCTCATGTATTAAACTAGATAGAATTGGCTTCTATCTATACAATAATTTGATAAGAACTATAAGATGCCAAAAATACTTGTCTACTAAAGCAATAATCCATTGCAATCTATGACAACATCAAGTCCAAATCACAATGGTTGCTAAGAAGTAATCCATACTTTTGTAACCCACATTTGACAACCTAAACAATCTGCTCAGTTAGTCCATCTATCTCAAGATGATTTTTAGATGTGGTATAACAATCTATTAAAGCTTTAGTATATAAAGCTTCAAAACTTTCAAAAAACTCTCTTCTTTGATTTATTAAGACTTCACGAGGTGCTCCAAAATATGCCAATATTTGATCAAGAAAAGCTATAGTTGCCAATTTTAAAGAATTTTGTGGTAAAACTACAAGTTCAATCTACTTGCTAAAATATTCTACCATCACTAATATGTATTTAGCTTCACGTGAGGTAACAAGTGGTCCAAAAAAGTCTAAAGATCAATAATAATACAAATTCATAATAGGTAACAGTTTCAACTAAGATATTAAGGTGTTAAAGCTTAATTTAAATTGATAACATACTTCATATCAAAAAATATATATTGCCACTTATAGATGCATACTAATCTACCAATATTCATTATGTAATATAGAATATGTCTTATACATCTTAAAATTTTCATGTTCTTCATATACTTGTCGTACTAAGGAAGCTCTCTAATGTAGCTTTTAAACTATGCACCTAGCTCTATTAAGCCACATACAAAATAAAAAATTATTTTTTCAACAAAATCTTATTATTTGGTGATTAATCTTATCTCTTTTTATGTTAGAGATAGCTAAAAGAAATTTTCTTTAACAAAGCTTATGCAAGACCACAAGATCTTTTTATATATTGCTAATTACTTGTTTCTTGTTCAATTCTTCATCCAAATTTTGATTAAAATCCATGGTTGTAGAACTTGACAATAAAGTCAAATACATGGCTATATGTCATGTAAGAAATGCTTCTTAATTATAATTTTTATGCCACCAAGCTCCAATTAAGTCTTTTTTTTGAAGGATATGGATTACAAAAAAATCCATTAATATCCAAATTGATAATGTCTACCTAATGTACAACCTCAAAGTTGTATTCTTGAATCAAAAAAGTCTACCTTGCAAGCTTGCTAATAAGCTTCTTTAATTCCATAAACCACTTCAAAGATTGATGGTTAGTTACCAATATTAAAAATTATTCATACAAGTAAGATTAAAAGTAAGCAATGGTCAAAACTGCTGCTAAAACTTCTTCTCTACAAGATGAACTATTTGATTTTACATTTTCATTACTTCTAAAAGTAAATATAATAATATATTCTCATCTTACATCATCTTTCTATATCAAGATTACTCCCAATCTTACTGCATTCCAATCTATATGTAATTGAAAAGGTCTACTGGCATCTAGACGTCCAAGTACTACATTTGAACCCAACTTTTGCTTCAATGTGTCTAATACATGTTATTGCTTACAATTCCAAGTCCATAATTGATCTTTATCTATGAGAATATTTAAAGGCTTGGCAATGATACTAAAATTTTTAGCAAACCTTTAATAATAGTTTGCTAATCTTAAAAAAGCCCAAAGTCATGAAACATCACTTGATATTGGGATTTTTTGTAAGGCATCTATCTTTACTTGTTGTATGCCAAGACCTCTTAGGATAATCATGTGATCCAAGCATGATAATCATTCATGGAAGAATTTATACTTTTGATGATGTAAGCGCAATCTTTATTGCCATGATCATTCAAATACTACTTATAAATGCCTCATATGATCTTATGCGGTGTTATTAAAAATAATAATATTATCAATATAGCATCTAATAAATGATATGTTAGATAAAACCTAGTCCATCATCCATCAAAACTCAGTTGGTGCATTTTTAAGACCAAATGTAAGGAACTTTTAATAATAGAATTGATCTTTGTCATCTTAATCAACCCTTCAAAAATTTTTCTTCATCCATTCTTCAATAAATAATGATAATTGGTAATAACCAGATCTTAAATCCAAAGTGCTGAATATTTGAAAGAATTCTATTGAATCAAATAATTCTTCTGATATTGACATTGGATATTAATCAAACTTAGTCTTATAATTAATTAGAAGGTATTCTCTACTCATCTGCTTCTTTGTCCAATTGCCAAAAACATCCTTCTTCAAAAGCATAATTGTGGCTTAAATATATCCACAATTAGAAAGCTCAATTAATCCTATAGCCAATAGCTCTTGGCAACGAGCTTAAATACGAGCTTCTTCTAAGGCACTAAGCTTGTACAATTGTTAAAAGATCGAGTAATCATCTTCCAATTGGATATGAATAGGTTTATCTTTATAATCTTCAAGATCTTTAAGATTAAAGGCAAAACCATTACAATACAAGTAGATGAAAGCTTGTACCATTTGTGCTTTGGTATCAATAAGATGTGGCCCTAATTCAAATGGCCAATCATCAAACTTTTTAGTTTTTTTTTTTCACCAATGGAGCACCACTAAATGCCAACATGGTCTTCAACTACTAATCTATTGAACAAACAACTCTTATGCCTTCAATATCATCACTTTTAATCAAATGAAGGACTTCATCACGAAAATGTTTGTATGAATAAAAAATATTAGTAGAACATAGAGAGTCTTCAAAAAAAAAAAAAATTGTAACAGAGTCTCTTAAGCATTTGTTTTTTCTAAATCTTAAGCTAAAACTACAAAGTTATGTTGAGCTTATAGCTCATCAGTTGCATGTTTTTGTAAACAAAAAAATAACTTTGATTTGTCAACTTTAATAAGTTTAAGATCGATTACTCGTTGATCATTATTCTTTGACCTTAGAATAGTAATGTGGTTATGAAAATGCTTTTGAATAGTAAGGCATATGCCAAAAATCTATATTAAAGTATTGAGGTCCATAGCTTTGCTTAGAAAAAAATAGTATTATCCTTCAATGAAATCATAAGCAATTGTGGTGCTACTTAAACAATCCATAGTATGCTCTTTTTTTTATTGATATTAGGTTCTTCATAGGTTTATAAATTGATATCTCAAATCACACCAAGTCCATTTACTTAAAATGCAAATGATA